GAAATGATTTTGGGAGATCGAGGAGGCTGTACCTGCAGTACATTGGTCGCAAAATATGTGATGAACACTATTGTGAATACGGTACGCGTATCAACAGAAAGTTATGTTGTGCAATTGCTGTTGAACGGACAAAAACAATATATGGGGAAAGTTACAACGTAGCTTTAAAATGATTTCACAATTTTGAACAGAAATTTGGCCAAAATCTAGAGCCTAAAGAACAATAAATACATAAAATTTCTTCACGAGTATTTAACATTAGGTGATGTGACAGAAACTACAAATAATTATAAATGTACAGAACGTTATTTCTTACCATACCACCCGGTTATTCATGAATTTTTTTTTGTTTGTTTTAGTTTTATGAAGGGAAAAATAGTGTTTGACGGATCAGCGAAAACGAGTAGTGATATCATTTAAATGATATGAAACAATTTAAGAAACGTTTAACAGGGTTGACATTTAATATTAATGTAAAAATTCATTTAATTTTTATCCACTACAAATTACCTGTATACGCAAAAGTCCTGGGTTCGATTTTCGACGAGGGCGTTATAGCAGTAAAGATTTTTCTTATTAATTTGAGGTAATTTGTAGTAGATAAAAATTGGATATTTTGGAAACTACATAAATATTTCATAAAAAGTATTCAAACATTAGCAAAAAATTTATAGAAAATATATACCTATCTAATACATTACATTATAGATTATTGCGAAGCTCCTGAAAGCAATGGTCAAAACACACAGTTCTGGAAGATCCGGGAAATATAAGCTTGTATCTTCGAATTTCACATTTTGAGCATCATCGACATTCGTGTCGCAGTTTATTGTATCTTGTGCCCTTTTCTAATTTAGATGGACCATGCTGAATGCATTTGTTCTCTTTGAATTGATTTGTCATGTCTCTGGGTTCGTTTCCTGGTAAAACTGGTACCATTGCAACAACTATTGATTCATGATATTCTAGGTACGACATCTTTGGTGTAAAATATTTACTGTTTAACATATAGGAATTGTACAACATAGTCGGAATAATGTGAGTTCCTATTTTTTTAAACCCATTATTTTACTATGGGATGGATAGTAAAACTGCAACTGATCTTGTAGATCTACAACCGGCATATAGTTTTTGTATTGAACAATTGGGGCTGGTTTATTTTATTAGTACCATATCTAAACGAAACTTCTTCCATCGTATTTGCATGTTCTTCAGTAGTATATAGTATCTTCCGTTTGTTCTTCCATTTACGTACATAGATATTTTCTCCATAACGATGAACGGATTCACCAGGCTTTAGTTTTGTCTTACTTACATCTTCGGAAATGTTTCTTCCCGCCTACAATATTCCTGTGCAACATGTAATCGACCAATCCTAAAATTACGGCCAGACAGCAGATTTGGTAGTGCATATCCCGCGTAAATATTGATTTGTAGCACAATTATTTCAACGAACTCGTCGTGAACCGGGAGAAAAGAAAAATGGACTTACTTTCACCTTGTATTGGTACTTTTAGTAATTCCTGTGGTGAATTTATATCACAAAAAACGTTAGAACGTCACATGTTTATTGTGAGCACTCGTGTAAGTACCAAATTTGCTTAGAAGAGCTCAAACAAGTCGATTATTTCCTTTTAATTTACTAATGAAGTGCAAGCCGGTCAAGATGAACGATCTTCATTTCTGCCCGAGACCCTTTCTCAATACGATGAACAATATTTATATAGTCATACCTTGTCGCCAATAAAATCGTTCTCGCACCTTCCCTAATGCCAAAATGTTTTTCGCCATGGACTGCTCTAAGATTTTTCAAATTCTTTTCTTCGGAAGTACCACTTGATCATGCTTCTGGTTCCATGTGGACATTCCCACATTTTATTCAAAACACCGTAGTCCAAGTTAAGGGATTAAGGGAAGTCCACCACGCCCAATAACTTTTCGTTGTTTGACTCAGGAGACTGACATCTGTTTACGATGGTATTGAGGTTCCGACTTCTTTCCATCTCATTATTGGGCCAATGTCTTCGTCCTCCTCCTGGTTTTCGATTAATGCCTTATCTTCCCACGATTCCTCAGGCTGGACAGTGGTTAAATTACAACAGATCCTTATTCTCTGCAGATGAACAATGTTGGTAGCTTTCAAGGCAAGGTCTCCGTTACAGTGCATCAGCGTTGCTGTGTTGTTTTCCTAGGCGATGCTCGATGCCAAACTCATATTCTTGAAGTTATTGTAGCCATTGTGCAATCTGTCCTTCTGGGTGCTTGAATTGCAGTTGCCATTTCAGAGAGGCATGATCCGTTCTTAAGAGAAACTTCTGTTCATACAGGTACCTGCAGAAATCTTCGAGAGTTTTAACCACAGCTAAAGCTCTCGGCGGGTGACACATTCATTTCGCTCTGGCTTCGAGAGTGTCTTACTAAAGTACCCGATGACCTATTCTTTTCCATCTTGTACGTGGGTTAACATACCACCAAGTCCCATATTATTAGCGTTGGTATCAACGATGTTGGTTTTGCAAAACGGTGGGTATGTCAATATTGGGGCTCCAGAGAGCTTCAGATGTTCAAATCCTTTTTGACATTCAGCATCGTTCATAATTCCTTTCGATGTTATGACATGACCTAGATACATTACTTTTCAGCATCGTTCATAATTCCTTTCGATGTTATGACATGACCTAGATACATTACTTTTCGTACAAGTAGGATGCATTTCTTAGGAAAATTTTTTAAAAATTTCAACAAATGCTTCAAGTAAATAGACTACGAGATGTTCCCATCAAAAGTGAGAGGTGTACTTTTTGACGGGCTTGCGAAAAATTTCTTATCTCATTTGTTCCCTAATTTCTTCAAGATCTCCTTTCGATCTTCATTTTCCGTATTAATATCCCTTTCTTCTATCCTCTTTATTTATTTCCCTTTCTTCTATCTTCTTGTCCATTTTGATTTCCCTTTCTTCTATTTTCTTCTAATCCCACTTCTGACACCAAATGTCACGTAGTTATAGCTTCCTGTACTGCTCGCATATTTTGTTTCATTTCTTCCTGAGCTGCTTTTAATTCTTCTTTCATTTCCTCTTGCCCTGCCTTCATTTCTTCTTGTCCTGCTTTCATTTCTTCTTATCTTGCTTTCATTTCTTGAGCAGCTTTTAATTCTTCTTGTCCTATGTTCGTATCATTTTGTACTGTCTCCCTTTTCTTTTTTATTCTTACCCAGTTTCATTTCTTCTTGTCCCTGTTTCATTTCTTCCTGTCCGGTTTCCATTTTTTTTTTGACATTTCTACCATTACTGCCATTAGTACATTTATTTGTTCCTCCATTTTCGCTTCGGTAGCTTTGGTCGTAACTAGCATGAAATATTTCGATTTCTTCTAGAAACTGCGATGGAACCCTTTGATAATGTCGGATTTATTCTTCTTCCTTCAAAAACTTTCGAACGATATGCGACTTGTTAAGATTTCTTGCAGTCAATGGGACCTTCCAGAATGATCGTTTAAATCCTTCAAATTCCTCCTTCTCCCTTCCAACGATATATCACTTTCTACGGTTTCACCCGACCGATGGAAACTCCCAGAAAATAGGCCGGTGAACGCTCTGGAACATTCGATGGAATTCTCCTCCTTCAATCCTCTTCAGTCTTCTTTTAATCCCACTTCTGACACCAAATGTTACGTATTTAAAATCCTTATCACATTACTATTACTTCTATTTAATTTTTTTAATCTAATTAACACTTCTATTATTAATTAGTTAACAATTCACCACTATGCAAACACCATCATTTCTACGTTCTCTCTCCTTTTTTTATTGCCTTGAACTCTGTATCTCGTATTAACTCAAACTAGCGACAACTATTTACAGAGGCTTCACATTTTCTAGAAATTCCCAATATATGCCGTCCAGAAACCTGGCCTTCTTTGTCACTATGTATGTTGTTTCGTCTACATACACGTAAACATACAATGAATTGCGACCTAAACTATTAGGTACGTATCGTCGATGTTACCGCTGCTTGTAGCAACAATTTTTCCTAATTCATTTGGAATTACCTGTAGTTAGTTAAATTAATTAAAAAATTAATTTACTAATATTTTCGTTGTTTTCGGGCGAAGCCAACTTTGACGAATTTATTTTTGTGGCCCTTTCCTTATAAAGGAAGAACAATTTTGAAATGAAAGTAAATTTGTATTCTTTCTGACTAAAGCAGTTCATATGGAACTAGTTAGCAATCTTACTACTGAGCCTTTTTTAGCAAACATACGAATATTTTTTGTAAGACGTGAGAAATCAAACCACATTTATTCTAACCATGTTACGAACTTTGTAAATACAATCACCAAACATTCAGGTATTCATTATTTTATCAAATCTGAATATAACAATAAGTCAATTCAGACGTCATTAGCAAACAACAGTGTTAATTGGAATTTCATACCAGCTAAATCTCTGCACTTTGGTGGCCTGTGGGGAGCGACTGTCAACTCATTTAAATACCATTTGGTTGGTAACTAACAATAAGCGTTCAATCATCATAATTTTGGATATTTTATATTTTATCTCTTTGTTTTTGGACGCAAGTCGTTCAAGAACGGCAATATATGTCTGCTATGCATATTAAATACTCTGCGGGTATATCCATACTCATCATATTATATACTACGAGAGTGTACGCGCGAATATGTGCTAAGACAAAGGGCGCAGCTGCGGTATGTAAGCAGTTTCTGGAAAAAGGAGTTGCGCCGTTAAGTCTCACAGTTTTCCAGTGTGTAGTATAAGAAGCCATGTGCGAGGTAACATATGAAAATTTTTCATGTAAAACAATTTAATTTGGTTAATAAATAATATTAAATATAAAAGTGCATTTTTGATTTTTTCTTAACAACGCACTTAAACCTTCCAGATACCTGCAAACATGTAAAAAACGAAAATGGAAAACACAAATAACACATTTAAATACTAACATTACCCAAAATAGTTTTTGCTTAATTTTAACTTTACAGGCTTCTCCGTCAATGTGCAGGAGTCACGTTCTAGTCAACGACCTGGCAAATTTACTCTTTTGTGTTATGAACCTGTTGCCTGCCATCTGTAATTCATCAGATGAACTCGTTGGACTTCCAGTCACCTCAGAAAATAAGATACTTAAGGATATTCACGTAAAATGCAAGGAACTGTTTTTCTGTTTTCTGCTAAGAGGTGCACCGCTAGAAATTCTGTATAAGGTATATAGAACGAACGAAGGAATGAACAAACGAACTACATAATACATAATATAAATGAATTAATATACCTACCATCAAATAATTATTATTGCAGATGTTTCGCAAAAAGTGGGACGAACTTTATATATATAAACCAGTGAGCGGTATGAGCCCATGGGTCATGTTTGGATTGCCGTATCTTTATCTGGATAACCCAAGCAATGTTAAAAATGTTTCCGACCTTCAGGATAATGTTGTAGTATATTCTGAAATTACAATTTTGTTGGCACAACCACAGCCAAATTGGTGTATGCTATTGAAGGTTGGTTTCCGTTGCATTTAATAAAAACAAAGGATATTGTATTAACTTACCCCATGAAGGTTGCTAAGATGTATTCCCACCATATTTATTTAATTTCACATTCTGCAATATATATACATAAATAAGTTTTATTAATTTTACCGATGATACATTTCTTTTTATGGTTCTTTCAATAAATTTATCCATCTCGAATTAGACTGTTACCGTGTTAGATACTAAGCGGCTTTTATTAATTTTTTATTGAACTAATTTTAACTTTTTCATTATTTTACATTTTAAATAAGTCGCATTAGGTAGGTACGCATTAATATGTAGAAAATTTAAGTCAATTTTATTCTTTGACAGTTGGAATGTTTTAAAATATTTAACAGTGTAATCCGGAATGTTTCTCCAAATCTGCCATATTCTTAACTACTACAAGTACATTTACTTAAAAATCTTGAAAGGAATATCCTGGTGTGATACTGTACTGTAGTTATGGTATTTAAAAGCAAAGGAAGTTATCTGCATCGAAGAGAAATAAAAAAGCCTAATTTGGTTGGTAGGTATATGTGAATTACGATAGTGGCCGTTTGTCAGGTAGCCTGCTTAAAATACTTGACGTTTTAATAGTTGTTCAGATGTTTAAATATTAGAAATATTGTTGGTTTATCCAAATATCATATGGAAGTGATTTAGGTATAATTTTAGTGTATCGACCTTTTGCAGGTAATATCTTAAAAATAGTTGTAGATACGCTTACACTTATTCAAAATAATATTTGAAAACTAGTTAGTTACCACTTTCTCTCCTTCCTCTTTCAGGATGGTGGTTGTGTTTTATATACGTTTACACAACTCATAATAACAACACAACAATTAGCAACAGTATAATCAAATCATCATGTTCAGTATTTAATCATAAATATCACCGTAAGGGTCTTCCATATATTCATACACAGTTTGTAGCAGTAACTGTATATAGTGTAAATGAATATTACTACGTGCAGTTACTCGTGTTCTTCCTCATAGAAATAGATTATTTGCATTTAAACTTCTTCATAAAATTTGTGTGTTCCTCATAGGAGAAGGAAGTGGCGCGGCAGCGCAAATTAAATAAAAATAATTGGTCCTTTGAGCCGGATATAAGTGCAAATAATAATTTCGTGCGAAAATTGTATGTCATCATATCAGCAGTCATCAAGCAGAAGTCCCTTCGAATCATCACGTAATCAAGAACTACAGTATCAAGACAAACAACTTATCAATAACCATCATTATAAGCGACAAGTCAATAACCACACTCCGCTCCTTATTCCAAATCACATATCATCTTTATCAACACAAACATAATTACGGCATACATAAGGTAAATGCGTCATCCTATTATTTTATACCATCCTACTTGTATCGCTTCAATCATTTATACAAGCATGGAAGATCTAAGGACTTTAATTTAACAAAGGGCTCAACTAAAATCCCATTTAACCAGATTCAAAAATAGTGTAAACACCATTTCAGAAGCTACTTTAATTAATAGTGAGCACGTGACTGAAATTAAGGACAGACTTTCTAATATCAATAATATCTTGGTAGTGTACAAACAAATTCACTTCAAAATAATTAACATATCAGATAATATTGCGCATGAAAACGATATAGAACAATTTGAACGTTCATTTTATGAAACCACGACATTTGCTATAACTTTGATTGCTAACGTGTCGATCAAAGAACAAAGTCAATCAGATAGTAAAAATACCGAAAATGAACCAGTTGGTGACCTGAGAAGCATTAGTTTACCTACATTCAATTGTCAGTTTGAAGAGTGGTTAGAATTTCACGATGCCTTTGATACGCTCATAAATTAGAATTCTAAATTATCCAACATGCATACATTTTATTACTTGTTATCGATAGTTAAGCATGATGCTGCTCAATCACTTAAAACATTAAAAATATCATTCGACAATTATGAGATAGCTTGGGATTTGCTCAAACGAAGGTATGAGAATAAAAAATTAATGGTGCAAAACAGCATTAAATCATTATTTAACGTAGAGTCAATGAGAAAGGACAGCTACCACTCCCTGCAATGCTTATTAGATGATACGTTAAAATTAATTCAGTGTTTCAAAACTTATGAACAACCCACTTTAGGTACTATTTTAATCTACCTTATAAGTTCTAAGTTAATTAATGGTACTAGACATGAATGGGAATCCTTAACGTTAAAAAATGAATTCCGACCTTTGCAGAGTTCACTAAATTTCTAGAAAGCAGATGTAGCATACTAGGTTCATTAGAAGACAACAAGGAGAATCAGAACGTATTTAGCTCCAACAATAAGCCAATAAACAATCATTTAAGATCATATGTTAGCAATTCTTCGAATTATTGTCATTTTTGCAAGACAAAGAACATAGTATTTATAGTTCTAAAGCATTTTTAAACTTAAGTATAAACGAACGTATCATGGAAATCAAACGTCTCCAACTCTGTCTAAATTGCTTTAGGAAGAATCATTCTGTGAAAGACTGCCTTGCATAAAAATGTAAAAAATGTAATAAGAAACACAGCAGGATCGTTCATATTGAAGAACGGGTCAACAAGCAACATAATTGTCAGAATAATGAACCTGAAGATAATAGTCCCAAATCCGATAACTCAGCAGGACCGTCTAGTAGTAGTAATGATAGTAACGTATTTGTAACAAAGGCGGTCTTCTATACAAACTGTACTGTAGGTAATGCTTCGTCAATTCAAACATTATTATCAACTGCATGTGTAAATGTATTAGAATGTCATGGTTCATTTCAAAAATGCAGAATTTTACTAGACGTAGGATCTCAATCGAACTTTATAACTAAATCACCGTGCATAAGACTTGGGCTCAAAAAATTCGAGTGGAACTTACCCGTAGGTGGTATAAGCGAAACAGTAGCTAATATACGATTCTGAACTTCAGTAACAATCAAGCCTCGTGCTAGTGATTATGATATGGAAATTTCATGTTTCATTTTGGATAGGATAAGCGACAACATACCGATTATTCCATTCAAGTTATGTACTTTAAAAATACCCACAAATAGTAAACTGACCGATAGTAATTGCAATGTTCCAGGTAATGTATATATTCTGTTCGGAGCCGGTTTGTTCTGGGAATTGCTTAACGTAGGTAGAATTAGGTTAGGTAAAAACAAGCCAATATTACAAAACACAAAATTAAGTTGGGCTTTAGGAGGAGATATATACGAAACAAATAGGATAAACAAGGAAACCATATTGTGTCTTATTGTAGCATCCAGGATAGTAACAATATTTTAAGCAATCAGTTAGAGAAATTTTGGGAATTAGACAACTTTGAACATAAGAAGCATGATAGTCTGAAGAAGAAACCTTTTGCGGGGATCATTTCGTCGTAACGTATCGACGAAATGAAGAGGGAGATTTATAGTTAGTATACCATTTAAGCGTTCGGTTAGTGAATTAGGGGATTCTAAACAATTAGCTCTAAAGCGATTCTATTCAATAGAAAGAATATTAAACAAAATAGGTAATTTGAAGATCGAATACGCGAAATTCATGTCTGAATACGAATCATTAGGGCACATGACTAAGGTTTCAGAACAAGATATCTAAAGCCCGTATTGCTATCTTCCATGTCATGCTGTAGTCAAGGAATCAAGCCTCACAACCAAGGTTCGCGTAGTCTTTGATGCATCCGCGAATACAGTATCGGGAGTATCACATAATAAGATTCAATGTGTTGACCCAACTATCCAAAGCGACCTACATCCGATCTTATTACGGTTTCGATTACACACCTTTGTTATTACAGCTGATATAGCTAAATGTATTGACAAGTAGTAGTCGATGAAAATCAGCGTAACTTGCAATTGATACTTTGGCGTGAAATTTCAGACCAAACGATTACGTCCTTCCGATTAAACACGATGACTTATGGTACAGTATGTGCATCATTTTTAGCTATTCGATGTCTTCAGCAGTTGTCAGTCGAAAACAGTAGCGATTACTCATTGGCTTGCGAAGTAATTAAACGTGACTTCTATGTCGATGATTTGCTAACAGGCTCCGATTCGATTGAAGACATTTGTGGACTACGGGAGGATATATTTCGTATTGTAATGTTCGTGAGTTTAACAGATTAACTTTTAAGAAGAAAACTATTTATTTACACTAATTATTATTGAACTTAGAAACACTATTAAATTATTACTAAACTTAGGTAATTATTCTATTTATTTACACTACTGTTACTATTCACTGTTCTATTTATTTCACTTCTATCACTTCGGGAACTTTCTCGAGCCGTCACTTTCCGTTTCGCAGGATTATGCCGGAATCTGCAGTTCTCCCTTCACGACATCCACTCCGGGAATAGAAGTAACAGTCCACGGTCTTCTCATGATTGGTCCGATTCGGGTTTTTCCTGCAAACCAAAATGTCTATTCCAGTACGGTAGAACAGGACTTCGATCATGTTCCATACGATCTTCCAATTTAGCTTGTCCAGTCCACAACCAAGCTTCGGAATTGCCAGCTTCTGTAGGTTATTCTCCAGAAGATGTCCGCGGAGTTCCATTACTGCGTCCGTCAGGCAAGCACAACAGTCTTTTTCCCTTCTGTACTTGGTCTTCAAGATGTTCCAAACCGCCAAATCTGTGTTTGAACTCGGACGCGATACCACGGTTCATTCTTAGATCCTTTGAAACGCAATGGGCCAGAGAATATTCCTGGGATATAGCAAAGAGGTCTCGTCGGATTTCTTGCGTCACTCCAAATCTCCTGTTAACATGGGGGCCTTCCTTCCTCTTCGAATGTGGGCTCGGAAGGAATAGTTCTTAATAATCTGGCCCGCGCCTCCTCTTCATTTGTACCGGCGAATGGAGCCAAGCGATTAAAAGGGACTACCTTCGGATTTCCATTTGGGGTTTTCTTAATTCGATAGATCACGTCGTTAATCTTCTTCACTATCTCATAGGGTCCTTCCCAATTCTGT